TTTGGTTTAGCCTTATTTCATGTTCTCGTTTGATGACGGGCTTAGGGTAGAATCGAGTATTCGACTGTCTGTAGGATCCAATGTTATGTATGATTAGCATACACGAGTGTTGCAGGGTTGGTGGAAGTTTCATGAGTGGGTGCAGTTTATGGCAGGTCAACGTGAGGGCAAGGCAAAGGTGCATCCGAGATGCTGGGAGATAGAGATCGAGAATTTCATATGAGGATCTGTCTGATTTTATTGTGTCTTTGTGCCAATCGACTTCACTGCTCGAATGATGCTTGCTTTGTGCTTTGTGGGACTCACACTGATGTGGGTAACTATTAAATGAATACATTAAGTTACATGCTATGGAGGTTAAAAAAATTTAGAGTGAAGGATTTGGCTCTATTGCGTAGCTCTCGTTTGAGTCTAACCATTGTAGGGTTGGATTCTTTAGTCAAAGGATTATTTAAGTTTTGTTGCACGTAATTGTATTCATGAAGTGGTTGGCTGACATTGATTGGATTCCTTCAGCAGCTGATGGCAGGGGAGGTGGGGAATCCTAGGAGAACCTAGGAGGTAATTTAGTTTGGTCGTTTCTCTGTTGAGCAGGTATCGGGTGGATATTTTGAGTAGGTCTTAGAGGACCTGAGATGATTCTTGAGGAAAGTATGGATATGTGTGGAAGGTAGTATTGGGCCTGTACTACTGGAAGCACATGATCCATACTTGAATCAAGGAGAGTTTCGGGGATTCTAAGGGCTGTTCGGGAGAGATTAGCATGGTTTGATACCATTATTCGTGATAGTGGTTCCGTATCTGTCGATCTTTTGGTTATGGTTGCCCAAGCATGAGGATGGGTCCGGTAATAGTTTTGGGCCCCAGTGGCGATATCGGTTTGGGTTGGATGGTTCAGATCTAGATGAGTATGTTGGTTTGGAGGTCTCGAGGGTTTTGCTCGAGGCCGTACTTTAAGTCACGGGATTCAAGAAGGAAGCGGTTGTTATGATCGGCTTGGGGATTTCAGCTGGGAGTTGAGTGGTTGATTGAAGGATTGGATTGTCGCTATCTGTAGCAAGGATCATGCCCTTTTAAGTTTTCCGAATTCGGAGGAGGAGTGAGCAGACTTGTGATTTTTAGAGTTAGGATGTAAACTCAACATGGGATCTGTTGATTGCGTTGTTTGGCAACGGTATGTCAGCACAGGAGTGTGTGGGTGAATTGATGTGTCATGGTTTCTTGGTGGTGTGATCAAGGGTCCGTGTTCATGGGATATAGGCAGGTCAGGAACTAGTTTGCTGGTTGGTATTGCAGGCTAGGAGGGCATGCTTTGGATCGTAGGTCGGTGTTGGTTTATGCTCTTGTAATGGATCCTTAATGTTAAGTGGTCATGATTGGGAAATTTCAGAGATCTTCAGCTGAAATTTAGGATTCTCTTGGGATCCGTTTGATCTTTGTCTAGAAGATCATTCTGTGTGTATTATTCATTCCCAGGGTCAGTAATGGTTGTACCTGGTTAAGATGGTTTGAGTTATAGTTTCGTTTTAATACTAGTGGGTGGTAGTTCGAACCCTAAGTGGGGGGAGAACTGGGCATTCTGCTTGAAGGATCATCGATCTGTTCAAGTTCGTGGTATTAAGGAATGGTTTTCAAGAATCTACATTGCGAGTATGTGGGATCTCGGTTCAGGGTTTGGTCAAGGAAGGGGTATATAGTAGGTAGTGATCGTATGCATGTGTGAAGGAGACATATGGGTTGTCTCTCAGTAGAGAGTGGTTGGTCAAGGAGCTCGTTGCAGCTAGTGGCTTCTTTTTGTAATGTCAATGAATATATAAGGAATTAGTTTCATAAATTGGTGCGTTCAGCCCCGCAAGGGTTTTGGTTCATTCGATTTAATGTCATGTGCACGATTATTGGTTGCATCATTGCCATTCAACAAATGGAATTTAAAGGTTTTAGTGTGGCAGTTGAATTTCTATGGATGTGTCAGTTTATCGTCAAATTTAGTATGTTTTATGTTCCTATTGTCTCTGGGTATGCTTATCCATGGAAGGCTTGGGTTTGGTGACATTCAGGATCACTATGGAAGTCTTATCGAGTTGTTTGCGTATTGGAGGAATCTATTCAATCTCAAGCAAGTATGTGATCTTGTTTCGATCGATCATGAGGATGTCTTTTGTTAATGATTAAGGTTCGTCGTTCGTTAGAACTCTGGTATTTCCGCCATTTTTTGGATGAGGTTATGGGTTCCCTATAAATATGCATGGTAGTAATTCATTGTGTGTATGAGGGTTGGGCAAGATAGCCTTTGGGGTTTAGATCAAATTATTCGCATGGTTCTTTTGGGTGATAGTCTTCGAATTGGATCAAGGGTGCAGTCGTTGTCCTGTTCTCGGGTCGTGGGCGACCACGATTGCGTTGGGCTCTGCATTGGTAGCAACTAGGCTGTGACATATTACTTTATTGAGCTGACACTTTTGGTACCCCAATTTTGATATTCTCTACTGCTACCCACAAAGGTTTCAAGAGTTTGCCACTTTGGGTCTCTGACGTTTACCAAATATGACACCTCAAGTTGTTGCCACATTATTTTGTGGAGTTGGATTTTGGTCCCCCACCTTCGATATTTTACTATACGACCCTACTTTCCTCAAAACATTATACACACAAAATAGAAACAACAAACAAGAAAAAGAACCAAAAAACACCAAAATATATAAACATGAAAAAAGATCGGACCCGGGCCCAGTGGCGTAGCTATTCATGCACAAGGTAGGTCTTAGGACCTACCTTTTTTTTTCTTAATACAACAAGTATATATAAAAAAAACAAGAAACTACCTTATTTTTGTCAAAACACCTATCTTTTCATATTTTTTCAATTTCATTTATATAAGGAACCACGTGGTTTTTGGTTCTAAATTCGTCAGTGCCCATGCCCGGTTTAGGAGGGAGGCAAGCTGGGCCACTGCCCATGACTCATATCAATTTGGGGGCCCCGATTTTATATTAGTAGGTGTTTAATAATAATTAAATATGTTAGTCTATAATGTGAAATAGGCTCCAGCAGACTTGGTAGGATCATTTTCTCATTTGCTGAAGCACCCTGGTTCAATTCCTTGGAGTAGTAGTCTTTTTTAACACATTATTGATCCCTTTTTTTAATATGTCTAATCCGACTTCAAAGTTTATTTCCTTGCAATACACCATCAAGTACGGGTTCAATTATCCTTTTTTTCAGTTGCTTTTTTTCCCTATTTTTACTTTGCTTTCTTTTATAATGTATATGAAAGTTATACAATAAACGATAAAAATAATAATAATAGTTATATAGTTGGGTAGATGGTTTATATGTTTGATTTTATTAGAATGTCATGTAATAGTATTGATTTTGACATTTTTCTAATTATTTTATTTAAAATTCATTTGAAGTTATTTATATATAATTCTATATAATAACAATCTTTTGTAATAAATTACTAAATATTTTTATTTATGACCCGTAGTTTGTCTATCGCCAAGATTCTTCGAAAAAAATTAATTTAGATTTAATTATTATATACATTTTGGTAATTTGAAGGGGCCCTATCTTTTTTTTCCCCGGGCATCAAATATCTTAGGACCGGCCCTAATCGGACCGCCGATAAGCACAGATAACTTTCTAGTTAATATTAACTCAAAAACTAAAGAATGATCCAGAAATTGTAAATATTAAACCAAAACTAAAGAGTGATAATATATAATCTACAAGAAAACAAATAGTGTTTGAATAATTTACAACCACATACTTAAAAAACATGTGACCCTAACTCACGGGTTCTCTCAGTCATATATGCCTTCGAAACTCTTTCCATAATGGAGACAAACGTTCTTTATTGTTTATCATATTTTTTATTATTTATTTCATATAATCCAGTTTTCTAATAATTTGAATCTTCTTAATACCCTATTAAGTAATATTTCCACAGACTGTATTCATTAATTTATTCGTATCATCCGTAAAGGACGAGTTTCATAATTCAGATTTCAGACATAGAATTGAATAGATGATTAATCAATTCTGGATTTAAAATCGTTTCTATTATGTGTAAATAACGTGTTGCTGTAATCTTTTTCTGAGTTGTAATCGACAATAGTTTCAAAAGGACCACGTTTAATCCAAATTTATCCAATCATTAAATACCTTTTGTTAGTTTGCGTGCAAATTGAAATAAACAACCATATGGCCACACATATCAATGCAAATCTAAAAAGATCAATATATATGCTATGAATTACAATTCTCTAATTATGTATGGACTTGGAAACAAACTTTTTAATATGTTTTAATGGATATTCAACACCTTTGGTTTTTTAACTTCGATCAAGCTTTCTTGGCGTTTTATGCAACAATGACTTGTATCATACGTATTGATAATAGTTTACTATTTGATGAAATTAAAAAAAAAAATAAGAGAGAGAGATATTTGCCATAGAACAATGTGCAGAGAAGGTTGCAAACAAAAACACCAAGGGAGTAATTCATGTGAATGTTTTTGTTTTTGCATGGCTGGACCTGAAATACACAGTGGTCTCGAAAAAAGAAGCTGCATGTGAACCATGCAATTAACCTCCGAGACTTTAGTTGACATTTCCACTTGACTTAATTAAATACAAAATTCATTTCTATCCCCTCATCTGTCAAAAAAAAAAAAGTAATAATGCCACCCTTGCTTTCCAAATTTTAGTAGGATCTCTTTTTCACATATAATTTTACAAATATATCTAAAACTTTTTAGAAAGACGGTGATATTTTCGATATCATCCATTATTTATTCATATATAAATGGTTTTTTGTCTCAATATAGAGTTTAATGAGGGTTGATAAACTAATCGTGTATATATTATGCACATATATGCAAACGAGAGTACGGACAAAGTAGTCCTTGTGTGAAAAGCTCCAAAGAGACCTTACAAGTACGCATAGAACCACAAGTTAATATCACTTGAAAAACACACCACAAAGACATTTCACTCCAGATGAATAGAAAGGGTTGTGACATTGAAGCAACAGGCATCAACTACACAATCTACACTCAAAAACCACAACCCCCTTTCAAGATCTTTAACAAAGATCAACAAGTTACACAATATCAACAACCCTTTCCTGATCCTGACACCAACCCCAAAGCCCGTCGGGTTCTTCGCGAAGTAAGTTGCCATGCAAAACCATGGGAGGTCCTTGCCATCGTGGGCCCTAGTGGCGCCGGAAAATCATCTCTGCTTGAGATCCTTGCCGGAAAACTCACTCCACAAACGGCAACCATCTATGTCAACAAAAAACCCGTGGACAAGTCAAGATTCAAGAAGACTTCAGGGTATGTTACGCAAAAGGATACCTTGTTCCCTCTACTCACAGTGGAAGAGACACTAGTTTTTACAGCTAAACTCCGACTGAACCTTCCTAACCTTGAGCTGAGATCACGGGTCAAGTCGTTAATCCAGGAACTTGGGTTGACCCATGTGGCAAATGCACGTGTTGGGGATGATCGGGTTCGTGGGATTTCAGGCGGAGAGCGACGGCGGGTTTCTATAGGAGTTGCGGTGGTTCATGACCCGGAAGTGGTGATTCTCGATGAACCCACTTCGGGGTTGGATAGTAACTGCGCCTTTCAGATCATAGACATGGTCAAAACCATGGCTGAGACCAGAGGCAAGACTGTGATCCTTAGCATCCATCAGCCGGGTTTCAGAATCATCAAGCTTTTCAATTCAATATTACTCTTGGCAAACGGCACCGTTTTGCATCAAGGAACAGTTGATGAACTCAACCTCTCTCTACGGCTCATTGGGCTTGAGCCACCTCTTCATGTTAACATCGTTGAGTTTGCAATAGATTCAATTGATTCGATACAACAACAAAAGAACCAAAAGTTATCAAATCTTGAACAAGATATAATTACTGCTTCAACAAACAGAATCACACAAGGTAAGTTCACTTTACAACAACTCTTTCAACAATCAAAAGTAATCGACCTCGACCAGGATCACGAAGACAACCAAGATCAAGAACAAGAACAAGACCAAATGATTACAGATGGCTTCGCCAATTCAAGATTCTTCGAAGCAGTAATCTTGACTCATCGATTCTGGAAGAATATTTCTCGAACAAAAGAGCTTTTTGCATATCGAACTCTCCAAATGCTCGTATCAGGTTTGATCCTAGGCTCGATCTTTTACAACCTAGACATGGACTTGATCGGGGCTCAAGAAAGGGTAGGTTTATTTGCATTCATTTTAACATTTTTGCTGTCAACGACAGTAGAAGCTCTACCAGTTTTCTTGCAAGAAAGGGAAATACTAATGAAGGAAACTTCATGCGGAAGTTATCGAGTTTCCTCATACGCAATAGCAAACGGACTTGTATACTTGCCATTTTTGCTAATCCTTGCGGTTTTATTTGCCACCCCGTTATACTGGTTAGTCGGGTTGAACCCCAGTTTCTTTGCATTCTCGAGGTTCCTCCTCTTGATCTGGTTGATTCTCTACACCGCAAACTCGGTGGTGGTGTGTTTTAGCGCACTGGTTCCGAATTTCATTGTGGGAAACTCAGTGATATCAGGTGTGATTGGATCTTTCTTCCTGTTTTCGGGTTACTTTGTGTCGAAGCAAGGTACGCCAAAGTACTGGATATTCATGCACTATATTTCATTGTTCAAGTATCCATTTGAAGGATTGTTGATGAATGAGTTCTCTGGTGATGCTGAAGGCAAGTGTTTGGAGTATCTGTTTGGAAAGTGTTTGGTGAGTGGTGAAGATGTGTTGAGGGAACAAGGAGGTTATGAGGATGATGGTAAGTGGAAGAATTTTGTGATTATGGTGTGTTTTATTTTGGTTTATAGGTTTATTTCATATGTGATTCTTAGGGTCAGATGCTCCGAAAGGTGACTTAAAGGTGCCCTTCTTTGAATTTTTTTGGACATTTGTAGTCTTAATTATTGAAAAAAGTGCATGAAATATTAAGCAATTAATATGTGGTGTACTTTATAATACGTTTTATATACTTGAAAAACATATTTAAAAATGTATAAGTTAATATTGATATTATATAAAAGACATAGTTATCGGACTAGCAATTAATCATAACAAAGAAGTTGAAAATTGTAATGAAATGGAACTTTATTTATTTATAATGACTAACTTAGTTAGGAAAAAAAATTATCTAATATCTATAAATACCATTTTAAAATGAACTTTATTATACAATATGTTATATTTACCATTAATTAAAAACTTCTTTTATTAAATGTTTATCTCTTAGTTTTATCATTAATCGTCCCTAAATCTCAATGCTTACTGTATCTTTTGATGTAATATGTAATATATGCTGAGAGAGAGGAATTTTAATCAAATTTTTTTTTAAAATAAGGTTTTTAAAGTTTAGTTTTTAGCTAGGGAGTTAATTTTAATAATTTTTCATTTTTAGAAGCTATTATAAACATAAAAACAGTTACAAACGCAATGTTTGAAACTTTTAAATAATGTCGATTCTTGCTATAATAGCAAATTTAAATCTGCATTCAAGTAATATTATTTTAAAAATATTAATTATTTAATATGTTTTATAATAAAATATCGTTTATAACACATTATGTTTCATTTTGGACATGCGTCTCGTCTCATTATTGTACGAAATGATCGATAATATCGAGGTGCGTGTCACGGGTATCAAACAGTGGTATAGCTTTTAAAAAAGAAATATCAAAAATCCAAAATAGTTATTTTCTGGGCTTTTAACTGTTTTATATGATTTTATATTTGTTAGAATAAAGGTTGTCCTAAATTTTAGGAATGGAAAATATGTGCCACACACACACCATATAAGCATTTGTATTTTTTAATAATTTTTTGTTTATGATAATGATATGGTAACTTTTTTACATATGAAAATAAAAAAATTAAAAAAAAAATTTAAGTTTATAAATGACCAATCAAAAGGCACAATGGAAACAAAATTGTAATTTACCACCGTGTAATAACACCGCCAGCATAATACCACAGGTAAAAAAAGAGATAGGGGGCGGTGTTACCACAGGTAAAAACGAGATAGTCTTTGGATAGGTTTCAAAAAACGAGACTATCAAGTTGGAATGTATATATACCCTACCCTCACCGCCACATAATGCGGTGAGGGCGAGCTGAACATGTCATGGCCTCTCGACACCACACTGTCGGGTGCGGAGAACCTAAGGGGAGCCAACATATCCTCTTCTTTCATTTCTTTCCTCTTCTAACGGCAAAAATTTAAGTTTTTTATTTCAAATTTTTATTATCTTTTTATTGTGATATATATATATATATATATATATATATATATATATATATATATATATATATGTGTGAACCTAGAAATAATAAGAACCCTGAGAACCATTCATTTTTAATTTATTTTTGTGTTTTTAATAATTTAATTTTTTAAAGTTTTTATAAATGGCCAAAAAAACAATAAGTACCTAATGGTCTATTAAGAAACTTATTCTATTATTTTCATTTCACTAATATTTTCTAAGAACAAAAAAAAATATGATATATTTAGAACCTATAAAACTCTCTCAACCTCTACTACCAAAATTAAAGAACACACAACCATTTACACTAGTTGCCACCAACCACCACCCCCATACATTCGTCGCCTTCTACAGCCGGAGAATCGCCGTCTCTTCCTACCTTCGGCGAACGACCGCCATCGGCCACCTCCGACCACCATTGGTAACAATCCCCACCATCGACTCCTCTCCCTTCAGATCCGGTTTAGATCTTTTTAGATCTGGTCCAGATCTAGTCCATCGCCATCCTTCGACGACTTTCCACCACCAACCTCTGGAGCATCAGATATGCTACTGGACCGTCGACGTTAAACTACCGTCAAACCATCACATTTGTTTACTCCAACACCGATTTACAGATTTCATCCTCTAAGGTTTGTTTACTCCAACACCGAAGGAAACACATATCTCGTCATATCTGATGCAACCACCATCGTTTTTCCTTCCTGTCAAACACCGATGTAAGACCTTTGGATCTGATGAAAGCTGGACCTACTTACACTTAGATCTGAAATCTCCGATGACTTTCCAACACCGCCGGCATGTACCTCCGACACATCAGATCTGTTCCACAACTACATCTGAACATCCATCTCAATCTCCTTATGTAGAAACCAACATCATTGCCACCGCTCTTCGTCCAAAACCACCCCATCTACCATATCGTCGTTCAGATCTACAACCTTGTAACGACCGTCACTTGAGGTAATAATTATTAAATATTTTTTAATTAATTGTTGGGCTAAGTGTTATTAGAAGGACTAATTGAGTGGACCTTTAGTAAGTGGGCCGAAGACTTGGGCCGCCCATAAGACGTACGTTGGGCGTAGCCTTGGTGTAAGCGGGGCGTAGAGAAGCATTGAATGCGGGGGACGTATGCAGATTCCAAACCCCTAATTTTTAGGGTTTAAGCCATATAAATACCACATTATGACTCAAACCCTAGCCGCCTTACCAACTCCTCACTCTCAGAAACCTTAGATAGCCTCCCTTGCTCATTCTTGTGTGTGTTTTGGCCTTGTGAAGCTTATTTGGAGATTTGAAGCTTGAAAGAAGGAAGAAGAAGATAGTGAAGAGGAACTTGAGTATCTTGAGCTCATAGATCCATGATAACATCAGCTGTTGGGACTCATTGGAGGTATAAAGCTTTCAACTTTCTTTTTGAAGGCTTAGATCTAGTGTAGTGTTGTTTAGGAGCCTTTTTAGTTCCAAGAATGGACCTTTATGACTCAAGTTTGTTTCTAGGCCAAGAGGTGCCACTCTTAGTGATATTCATGTCCCATAAGCAGTAAAGTTTTGATCTTTAAGGTCCTTTTATGACCATGCATGAGTTTGGAGTCATTTCCATGAAGTTAGTTGCTATTTTCCAAGCTTGGTCTCACTTGGTGGGTTGTAAGCCACCAAGTAATCGACTTTATGGGTTAAGACGGGTTATTGGACTCAGATCTGTAGTCTAGACTTAGTGTCTTAAGGGATTAAGCAGTTTTGAAGAAAATGGCTTAATAGAGTAGTACGTTGGGCGTACACGCCACTACGCGCAACATACAAGCCATGCAAGTTGTATGCGTAGCGTACAGAGGAGTACGCTCAACGTACTCTCAGATTGTGGGCTTTGCAACATTTGGGCCTCGGTTTGGGCCAATCTTTTGGCTTAGCAGGTGTTGGGCCGAAATGGGCCATTAGATGTCAGATAATGGACCAAGGACATGTTTGGGCTTAGGGGGAAAGCACATCTGAGGAGTTGGGCCCAATTTAGAAAATTGGTCCATTAGTGGGCCTTAGTGGGCCATTAGTGAGTTTGAAAAGATTAGAAGGAATTGGGCTTGGGTCATGGTCCAAATTAGATCATGGGGTAAAATGGTTATTTTACCCTTAGAAGGATTCTCAGTTTTCGACTAAGTGTTTATTGTGATAGTCGGGGAGTCGTTGGAGCAGCCACTAGAGATTCCTCACACGAGATTTCAGCAGCCAGTTTGAGAGGTGAGTCATCTTCCTGTAGGAACGGGTCTAAGGCACCAAGGCCAGCCCGTCTAGATAGTAGTAGTTCCGGACTACGGTCCGATGTCGGGCGGGGCCTGAAGTAAGTTTATATGTTTTTCCAGATTTCGATTCGATGCCGGGACGGTCCCGAGGAATGCTTGTATGCTTGATGTCTTTGTGATTCCTGCATGTGTTTGTATTTGTATGTTTCCGGATTACGGTCCGATGTCGGGCGGGGCCCGAGGAATGTTTACATGTAAAAGGTTATATGTTTAGGTTTATGTGTATTATTTGATCATGCTCATATGTATTCCGAGATGTGCTCGATGCCGGGCGGGGCCCGATACCGAATAGGGTTCGATGTCGGGCGGGGCCCGATGCCGGAAAGCCGATGTCAGGCTATGAACCGATGTAGCAGGGGCGGGGCCCAAGATTTGTTTATGTGATATGTGTATGGTATGTGGTAGTTGGGAAGACTCACTAAGCTTCGTGCTTACAGTTTTCAGTTTTGGTTTCAAGTACTTCCACTAGCAATAGGAAGAGCTCGGGATGACTACATGGCACACACCACAACTTTTTAACCTGGGATGTTTAGACTTTGATATTTGGCACATGATTTTGATACAGTAATTTTATTATGATGATTTGAGATACATGATGATGATATATGGTCCATTAGCATGGCCTAGACCACTCTAGAGCGCCAGCCTGGCCTGGCGCACTCCTGCCAGCCTTACCTGGCGCCCCCTTGCCAGCCTTGCCTGGTGCTCCCTTGCCAGCCATGCTGGGGACTCTCCTGCCGGCCCGGCCTGACGCTCCCTTGCCCGGCGCCCCCTTGCCAGCCTTGCCTGGTGCTCCCTTGCCAGCCATGCTGGGGACTCTCCTGTCGGCCCGACCCGACGCTCCCTTGCCCGGCGCTCCCCCGCCAACCTTGCCCGGGGCGCGCCCGCCAGCCTTTTCTGGGGCGCGCTCGCCAGTCCCGCACGACGCCTCCGGGCGGCCCCGTCCAACTCCTTGCTAGTTGGGCCTGACCTAATTCCCCTTGACCTAATTGTCCCTTATATAATGACTAGTATCTCCTCCATGGAGAGGGATCTTCCCTTTGGCTCAGCCGCCGCCCTATACTCCGGCCGGGTGGCTCAGCCGCCACCCGCCGCCACCCGCCGCCGTCAGCCACCATACACCACCACCAGCACCAAGATGGTTCCCTCCAGCTATGGAGAACCATCTCAGATCTTCTAGCTGATCTAACTTGACCGTCGGAGTCCGCTCCCGGGGCATAGTCCCTGGGACGGCTCTAACGACTTTGCACTGTGATGTCCAGATCTCCGCCGCAGCAGAAGACGAGAAGCCTTGCCAGAGGTCGATGTCGCATCATTTGGCGCCATCCCGGACTCGAACAAGCAGAAATCATCTCGTTCTTGCCTAGATCTGCTCAGATATGTCGTTTCAGCTATGGTTTTCCTCAGATCTGTTCATTTCTAGCACCATTTAGTTCAGATCCGTTTTGGCTTTGACCAAGATCTGTCCAAATCTGATTATCCA